TAACATTATACTAAGTCAGCCACACATGAAGGGCTAAATGTTGCATGTTTTCTTTTATAGAGAAACCAAGAAAATAAAGTGTAAAATAAAAGAGAAATAATAAGAAACATGTAGTTTGACTCTAACAATTGGAGAGAGATGTAATTAAGGAGAGAGAAGTGAAAGCATAGGAGGGAAATAGGACTAAGATGTTCAATATGTGACAAGTTTAGTTCAAGATGAATGTTGAGTATTATGATGAAAAACAGTTTGGAGTGTATATTTGACTGTTCATTTTTATATCATCTATCTATCTATCTATCTATCTATCTATCTATCTATCTACCTTAAAACAAGCTAGAAATAAGTGTTTAATTCCAGAATGGATTAATTTTGGAACAAATAATAGAGTGGATTCAGTACTGAATTTTTCTGTCAAAAGTGACTTTAACATTAATATATAGCCACCATTCACGAGTAAAAAATGGGAAAATAATAGAGGAGACATTATGAATGATGCACAATTTCAAAAAATCCCAAGATGATAGGTATTCACCAGTAGCTGTCATACTGCCTATTGTTATCTTCAATGTACTTGCTCAGATTCCAGATATCAGCATGTAAAATTGGTCAAAGTACAAATTTTATTTTATTTATTTTATTTTAATTTTAACTTTTTTTTTTTCGGAACCAGGGATTGAACTCAGGCCCTTAAGCTTGCCAGGCAAGCGGTTGTTCTACTGAGCCATCTCCCCAGCCCTGAAAGTACAAATTTTAAGCATTAGCTGTTACAAACATATAATGATATTTTAAAGAGATAAAAATAGTAAAATACATTAGAAATAATACCAAGTTGCTAAATACAAGATGGTAGGACTTCAACAATTGTTGTTACCTTTCCCATTGTTATCTTCCAAGAGGTTGTTCAGACTACCAGACATAAGTCTATAATAATAAAAAATGAAAAACAATCCAAGAGTAAATCAGAAGGCTGAAAACAGGTATGATGATGGCCAGGGAGTTGGCTCAGTTGGCCAGGGAGATGGCTTAGTAGAATAAGCGCTTCCCTGGCAAGCACGAGGGTCTGAGTTCAATCCCCAGTTCTGCACCCCCCCAAAAAAAAACCAGGTATGATGGTATGTAAATTACTGATGCCATCTTATAAATTTCAGGATTTCTTGGAGATGTGAGATACTTAAAGGAAACAATCTCATAAAGCACATTTATAACCTTTTGCAAATGGGAGCTGCAAGTGGAGATTTTTTTCAGTCAGGTAATATTTAGGACTGTGGAAACAATACACATATAAAGCACCACAGGAACAACTATTGTTGGCAAAATAATGAAGACAGTTAAGTATTATGATTACCACTTGTAGTGGCTTATTGGTTGTGTCAACTTGAGAAGTTTAGAAACTTAACTAAATTAGCTCAGCAATTCTACAATGTAGGCTGTAGAAGACCTATGGTTGCTCATAACTTGGATGGTATAAAAGAGAAATTAGGAAAGACACAAGGTCCCTCATTGTGTGAAGGACCTCCAGTCTTCACCTTAAGCTTCTACGTGGTTTCCTGGCTTCTAACACAAACTGTTCGGGCTTTTCCTTGGATGCTTCAGTCTCCCAGTGTAGACTCCTCAGCCTTCTGTAGCAGACCCATCGGCCCCCTGGTATGGACTTGCATGGACACTGCACTGAGCTCCAGACACTGAACTTAATCCTTCATTTTCCAGTGTGCAAACACTCTTTTCATGTTTCCTTGTCAAACCCTGTGACTGACCATCATAGTCTTGTAACTTCATATACATTTTTATATCTTGTGTTATACTTGTTTCTCTAGTAAAACACTGACTGACACACTTTATTAACAAAGATTAAAATAGACCATCCTGATCTGAAAAAAAAGTGATAGATGACTCAGGTGACATAGAGGGACACAGAATGTTACACTGAGTTGGAGGATGGAGCTGACCCAGACACATAAATAGGAACCAGCAAACAGCTGAATGGGAAGCATTTGGACATATTGACTCTATAAAGAAAAGGATTGGGCCAGCTGTAGTGGAGGGGCTGGAGGGAGTGTTGGCAAGAGAAAGTTACTAGGTTTTTGTTTTCCACTATGCCTACCATTTGGTGTAGAAGAAAGAGTGAGATCTGAACCAAAGTTCCACCCTAGCCTCCTGAGTCAACGTCAATGGAGTAGTAAAAAGAAGAGCCAGCATTAGTCAGGCCCTACTGGGACACAGAACTGCTAACACAAAAAGGAGTCACTATCATTATTTATTTTAAAATTTCATTTCATTGTAAATTTGTTTCATTAGTACACTTCTCAGTACTTAATAATTGCATGTATTGTGAGTTGATATGTGTATATATCACATCTTTTTCTCCTAAATCTTATTAATTTGTGAAAGGGGGAGTGGCTCAGATACATTTCACCTCTTAACTATTTTTTGGTCTCCTGCATCTCCCATCCCTCCTTGCTTCTTTCAATTACTGGTCTCTTTCCAATTTTCAAAAGCTTTATTGCCACTTTTTCTTCAGTTATAGACACAACTGAGACATTCCTACATAAGTGGATTCACCGTTAGATCATAGTTTCAATTGAAATAAATTAGACATGCAATTTTAAGTATTTCATAGTTTCTCTTCTATGAGAAACTATAAAAAGGATGCAAATACAGAAGCAAATCAAAGAATAAAAAATAGGAGCTCTTGCTCAAATTGATGGCAGAACAAGAATTGGAAGGAGAGGAGGGGGAGGATGGAAAGGGAATGCAAGAAACCAGTACTGATGACTTATTTATAATGAAAATCATTCCAGGGACCTGAGCCAGAGTTAAAGACTTAACTGTCACAATGTGAGAAAAGAAGATCCAAAAATTCTAACCTACACTCCTAGGAGGCATACATAGTCCCAAATTAGGTATAGACTCCCAGAACAAGGAGTCTTCCTACAAAAATGTAGAATAATAACTTATAAATCTTCTATAATAACACTTGGAGAGTTTTTGCATAGCAAAGGTTTTCATGTACAGTACAAAACACACTTAAATTACAGACACATTTGATAAAAGATCTGGAACTCCTAAATATCCTGTAATCATGATTTTTTTCATATTTTAATAAGAATTAGATTCATTGTTTTTCCATTAAAGTAGCAGTCCAGTAAAGAGAATTATACCCACACATTCCCATATTGAGAACACTATTTCACCAGAAAAATATTACTTCCACATAGGTTCAAAACTGAAAGAAAGGGGCTGGGGAGATAGCACAACATGCAATAAGGGTTTTTTTTTGTTCCTCGAGTGCCTTCAGGGCACTTTTGGCCAGCTGGAGAGGTGTGAGGTTCGAACTCCAGCAACCTGAGGCTGACAGCTTTGTGGAAGCAGCCACTTAAAGGCCTGAGCTAGGGCCAGGCCCCCAGATAGCACAACAGAATAAGCACTTTCCTGGCAAGTGCAAGGTCCTGAGTTCAATCAACAGTTCTGCAAATTAAATAAATAAAAAAATAAATAAAACTGAAAGAAAATGACTCTGTTAATCAAATAGATCTTACCTTCCATGTGGAATGCAGTGTTGAAACCAGAAAACCAACAATGCATTTTGTTACCATTTGTTTTGAAATTAGGCCACATTAAGTCACTGACTTGCCTAGGGTAGGCATGAAATTTTGATCCTCCTGCCTCAGCCTCTCCTAATGCTGGACTTACAAATGTATGTCATTGCACTCTGCTCCAGCTTCAATATTTCTATTGAGGGGCTAGCAAAATAGCTCAGTGGTCTAAAGTGCAGGGACCAAGGCTCGATCCCCAGCACCACACACCTTGCCAACCCTGCGCCGGGGGTGAGCTCAGCTGGCTACAAAGAAAAAAATAATTTCTTTGGTAAGTTGATAACTACTCTTTTTTCAAGTGTCTCACATTTGCTTTCCCACAAATCTTTAAAGTTCTGTAGCATGATTTATGGAAGTAAGTTCTTGTGTTTTCTCCTGTCATTAGTGGAAAGAACAACAGAACTGGTTTTTAATGTGTATCAACAAATTTTCTTTTTAAAGGATATAATAATTTACTGTCAGAAATATTTATTTATTTTTGAGGTGTAGATGTACTTTATTTTAAGGATAAAAAATTGGACAAACCTTTATATAAACTGAGAAAAGGATATTAGCAATATTTATTATTTAAATATTTAAGTATATTCGGGGGTGATAAAAGAGATCCTGAAACAATAATAGGACATAGCTTTCAGGACAAACACTTTGCTACTGTGAACCATGCAAATAGGAAGAACTGGCAGTAAAGTCAGCAAAGAATGCTATCGTTTTCTTAGGCAAGGAAGTTGACCATACCTTTAGTAGCCATAATAGTACAGTAGGAGAGGTCAGTGACTGCTGAAGAAGAAACACATTGGTGTGTCAGGTAGAAGTCAGTCATAAACATGGCCATTTTACTATTATTCCCAAAAGGACAATGTCAGCGACCAATAAGAAAAGAAAAAGGAAGAGGGTCTCGCCCACTAGTAGTCGGTCCCACCGGTGCAGGGTAC